CACTAGTTTCAAAGACGCCTACAGGTGTGGTGCGTACAACCTTCAAGTTGTGGTGACGACCCGACAATCATGGAGGGAGAACTCTGTGGTGATGTGGTGAGAGGTCTGTCACTTGGTCGAAATCAGGGGGGGGAGGGTATGCCCGTCCAAAAAAATCCGTCGGGCCAACTTTCGGGAGCCATAGGAGTCAGCCTTACAACGCAGACCAACCACCCTGTTGGATTAGTCGCTCTCTCGCTTCCCAAAATCTCGCATGCTTCAGACGTCATTTCAGCTCTCACGGACTGGACGAGCGCTTACCTCAGTGGAGGCAGTGGAGGAGGCGATGGCTCCCCCCGACATTACTGAAGGCAATATATGCAATACCTAAGAGAGTCATTCAGCGTGCCCCCCCGAAGGATGCCTTCAGTAGAGAAGGCAAGACCTTGGTGTCGGTATTGTAGTGCACACAGAGCATAAAATGGTACGAGGGCGAAACGAGAAAATTCATCGCAACACTTGGATCTGTCGTTGTTGGTGATGTTATTGTTGGTATTGTTGTTGGTGCCTTTGTCATTGCTGTCATTGTTAATTGGTATTACTGTTGGTGGTGGTGACTTCGTTGTGATATGTATCTTGACACACTCCAGCACTTGGGTTTGCGCTGGTTCAAGCAGGACCGGGAACGGAAGTGGGCGGAGCTGCCGGAGTACCATCCTGACGAGCACTTGTTATTCTTCGCCCACATAATCAAGACTTCAGGGACTTCGCTAAGGTATACGCTTGTGGTTGTTGGTGCTGATGTCGGAGCCATGCGCGTGTGCAGAGGATTCCAGTTTCGGGCAGACGGGTTAACACCGCGTGTGCAAATAGCGTATTTTTGCACCAGACTGAGCCTTGAGCCGTATTTGGCGCGAGGCCTTACACCCACCCCGACTTACGGAAGTTGTTTTCCCAGGCCCTGTCAGAGAGCAGGGCCGAAAAGGACATTCAGAGTATTGGCCAGCAAACCTGCCCTATTTCTGTTTGTCACTTCCTGGACTTCCCCCATCCCGCCGGTCTATGATGCCTGCTTCATGGTGGTGGTTATTTATGCATGTACTGGACTTTCCTTTTTCGCTTCCCCTCCGCTCGTCTTGTCATCTCCATCGTTGCCGACCGCGGAAAGTTTCGTGCTTCGCGACATTTTCGGGGAAGAGGCCGTGGTTCCGACTTCTCACGAATCCGGGTACATGAAGCTGGGTGAGGTACAGGGTCACGACGACAACTGGTGGGCACCTTACGAGGTGCGAGCATGTCGTGCTTAGTGTAGTCAATTTCGACCTTTGTCTATTGTTGCCGCTAGCATGCGTGTGCTTCAGTATTTCTGCTGACCTTTGGGTGTTGACTTCCTCTTGTTTTCGCAGGCATGGCGCCCTAGTGCCGCTCGCGGTCGAAAAACAACGCCAAGGAGCGTGTGTTCTCTATGCAACGTTTGCGTCTGCCCACTCAGCAATTGTAGGACCATACCAAGCCAGTAGCAGTTCTTGTGTGCCTCTTCCCGAGGCACCAGGGGGATACTTCGCCTCTGTAGTGCTCGTGCGCATTCTCTCTCACGCCGTTCCCGTTCCTCGAACGTTTTCCCTCAGGCCCTTGGCTTTCTTTCTGAAACATGTCTCGACTCTTCTTAGTCTCCGGATGCTCCCACGCGTATATTCCTGGCCTCATCGTTGCCTCTTTCCCACCATCTGGCACTTCTCTGCAGAACACAACGCCCTTGACACCATTTTCTGTGAGCGTCTAAACACTGGCCATGCACCGTTGCCATTGTGTCGCGTCAAAAAAACTGACTCTTGCCGAGTTGTCGCTTTCACTTCCACTCTGCCCTCCCAGCCTGCGATAGATGAAACGATGTCTATTGAGATTATCAGTGGCAGCTCCTGCCTAGTCCTGGTGGTCACTCTTTAGGTCTTTAGCATCATGCCATAGCTATGACCGCAATAGCCGCGTTCTGTCATTTTTTTCAACAGGTTATGTACGGACACAACCCGCTGCACTGGATCGAGAAAATCGAGATCCCGCCGGCAAAGACGCTGAAATTCTTGCTCGTAGTTCGCAACCCTCTGCTACATAAGGCCTCCGTCTACTCCGAGACCGTGTGCCGATTCGGTAGACATATCCATGGTGAGTCTTTGCACTTCCAGTGTTCCAGTGTAGTGTAGAGGTTGTTGGGGCCACGGGGCTACCATAATACTATCCAGTGCGCTGACGCTTGGAGTGCCTGGTCGCGAAGTTGCAGAACATTGCCCCTCGCCCAATAGCAATGTATTTTTGTCGCGAACCACGAAGTTGAACTCGTTCCTGAAGGATGCTGACTCGCGTGGTTCGCGTCAACGCTGTCTGATGTCGAATGTGCAAGCCGTCTTATATTTTCACATGGATCTATTGGAAATACCAGCGTACGAATTACCACCCGTTTGATCTGCCCAACCGTACGAAGCTTGGTGTATTCACCCGTGAGAATAACCGTCCTCTCGGCCACCTCAACCAACCGAAACAGCGACGCCAGGGAATGTCTTTCTTCTCTGTGCATGCATGCCCTGGTTGTCGTTGGGCATATCAAGGGGCAACCGTGAGAACCCGCGTGTTGTTTGTACTTGGCACGGCTTGTATCACTTGCTCGCGGCCAAGAAGCCTTGCAGCAGTTTTGTTTTGGGCCTTCCTGCTCCCTCGGCTCAAGTGATATTCTTTGTCCCTCCAGACGGGGTGATCGACCAGGAAGAAGCCACGCTGGCATGAATTCGCGACACCCCAGATGACACTGCGGAGCAATACGCGTTCTGCCGAGATCCGGAACTTTGGGTGGACTCGGAGCACTTTGCAAGCATTTGGAGAAACATAGAGGTTGGATGTGATGGATCTCTCCAACGGTTGCCGGTCGTGCTTGTTAGGGTCTTTGCGCCCTGTTGGATGTGCTTGCATGCCCCGGTTGTCGTCGTCCATCTTGAGGGGAAACCGTGAGAAACAAGAGAGGCCCCAACAACATCGGAGCCTCTTTTTGGGAATCCCCTATAGAAGTATGTTCAGATGTTGTGGTGACTAGATATGTATTGCGCGTCTTGTTTGTACTTGGCACGGCCTGTATCACTGGCTTTGTGTTTTGGGATCTGATAGAACCAGCCGTTTTGTGGCGGCGCTTAGTCTTTCGGTTGGATATTCTACAATCGGTGGCGGTCTTCGCTGCATCGCGTAGTCTAGAGAGGGTTGTTTGTCCGGATTCGCGTTCACAACGTCGACCAGAAATATGCTCCAAAACCTTGCTGCACGTGAAACCTCTCGAATGGTAAAACAATGCGTGTTGCTCCGCATTTGGTTGCTCTTCACATTGTATTCGGCTGTGAGTATATCTCGAACGGGTAGGCTTTCCGTATTTGTATTTATATTTCCTAGTGTGTACCTTGGCTATCGGCGACACGACACGATTGTGGTGGTGTTCGGGGTAGCCGATTGCACAACGCCTTACATCCATTGTGTTCGGGTTCTAGGGTGCAGTGTTTGCCCTGCTGGCCATCCACGCATGGCGACGACTTGCCCAAAAAGCGGCACAGAGAAGTGAAGAGAATCTATGAGAGTGTCATGTAATGACGCTTGCGGGCGGACCGTTCGGAATCGGCATGTCTGTACAGGCGGTGACGTACGCGCACAATGAAGAGGACAAGCATCGGTGCGTCTACGGCCATGCGTGGGTGAAGCCAGAAAAAGGGGGCGATCACCATGACGAGGAAAGCTGCAACTCGTTGAAGGCCAGCGGGAAACATAACGCCATACTGGAGGTGGGGGGATGTCCCAATTTGTCATCATCGCCGCTGCCGTCTTGTTGCGGTTGTTGCTCTCGCCGTTTGCGTTGTTGCCGTGTTTTGTGTTGATGTCGGTGGCATGTTCGCCTCCCGCCCTTAGCTTCAGCCGCTGCCGTGTATGGTACTGATCGGGATAGTGGAAGGTATGGACTGTCCACACTGGTGAAGTTTGTACGAATGGACGCATGCAGATGTTGGTGTTCGGCGAGCGCGCCATTGTTGACATCCTACCGCCGCTGTCACCGATGCAGGAGTACTACGACCGCATGGCGGAATCTGCAATCAAGAGACTGGGGGATGGTTTGTGGGTAGGTGTGACGGAGAGGTCGGATGAGGCGGATTGCCTTCTGTTCCTGACTCTTGGGAAGGGTTCGACAGGCATGGGGTCGTACCGCCACAAAGAGCCTAGGCCCATCTCGGTGAGACAGGTTTGAGTTAGGGTGAGGTTTAGTATGATAAAGCACATATCCTTGCTGACATCAGAAGCGGTAACTGGTTGTTCCGGAGATTCATGGCAGCAGATTCACGGGAAGAACGTGTTGATTAGAATCCGAACGTAAACCGCGATCAATCACATCGAAGATTGACGTGAAGCGCGTGGGATTGAAATGAACGATCGGTCAACAAACATTTCCACGCTGTCGACCTTCATTTCGAGCAATTGCACTATCCTCCTCCCCTCGTCGATCCCGTGGCAGCCTGGCAATCGAAGGATCCACTTGGTCTTGTGAATTCTGAATCTTGTCGGCCAATCAGAATTTGTTTTGTTCGCCGGGGGGGACCCGATCGCGACAAGACGTGCAAACTCATGACCAGCGTTATAAATGAGTACAACAGCAATGACAAGCCTGTTTAGACCAAACCACTATCCACACTCGGTGTCCGTTGGCGACAGGTGTGGCATGAGGCTGCAATGTCAAAAGTTACACAGTACGACCAAGCTGACTGGAAGGTTTTCAACGCAGCGAACGACATTCTCGACCTCCGCATTTGGACGGTGAGGTGACCTGCCGAAGCTGGAAACCGTGTACTCTATGGACGCTAATTTATTGTCCGTAGTCAAGTCCTTCGTTTGTGTGAGGTTGATGTTTTCAACTCACTTTCTCAGCTCCTTGTCCTAAATTCATGTCGTGTATAAACATGTGCCCACGCTACTTTCAACTTAAGTCCATCGCTGATGCGGTGAATATATCTTCGTCTTCCTCTCCTCTTCCTTTCCGATGGTAAGTAGGAAAGACGGGTACCCCCGATGTTGTACAATGGCTTGCGTCAGACGATTCGGTCGTCTGATTTTACGTTCAATACTCATCATCAGCTCGCCTTCAGTGCGGTTGCCCCGCCCATTTTCGCGATTGACCGAAGGTTCTGGGTAGCAGGGGGTGTTTTCAAGTGTATCCCCTGATTCCCCTGATCATGGCAAGAATGTGATTCTGCGGGGCTCGCTCGAGTACAGCCTCCGCTCGCCTGTTGAAAGACAAAGAGTCACCAGAACATCTGTAAAGCTGGTGTTTTCGCCCAATCGTGGACGTATGTATGCATATGCACAGCAGTTGTACGTATCTACAAAGTAAGGATTACGTGAAAAAATACTGTTCACCTTATCTATTGGTTACTTCATCCCATCGTTGGGGGGCACTTCACTGCCCTCCCAGACGTTGTAGCGTTGCCGGGACCGGGGACAGCAGCTATTTCTTTAGAGTACGGTTGCCTTTCAAAACGACAAGGCTTTGTAAACAAAAACTGCTGTGGATGCTGATTTATTCCCACCCGATCCCGTCGCGGTCCGTTCGACTCCAGGCGCGGGAACGTCTGAAGCACGCGGGCGAAGAGGAGCTTGAAAGGCTGGGAAAGCACTGCGTGAATGTCATCAACGGGCAGTGAACGGGAGAGACGTCACCAGTCCTGACGGGCGTCACCGTACCCCCAGCGGCTGTGCAGCGGTAGAGGTCATCACATGGTTGCGTCAACGTACTCGCAAAGTGTGGTCGGTCGTATGCCATGTCCGGAGTTTCCGCGCTTTGGGGAACTGCCGTAGTTTTTTTGTTATGCGTTGCATGGGGAAAAGTGCGATGCTGTGGTGCCCCGTTGGGCACACACCCTCCAGCAGTTTGGCTTCCGAAGCACCGACATTTCATTTTGACCTGGGGCGACAATTTTAGTATTTTTTTTTTGTTTTCGTTCGCTACCCAACATTTGGACGTCGCCCCGATGCTACAGTGCAGGCAACCCCCGCGTTGTCTAAGGGCAAGCCGATGCGTTGATTCGGAGACCATGGCCGTTGTTGTGATATGGATGTTTTTGTCGTCATTGTGTCGTCGTTGTTGTTGTGGCCGTGGTCGTGTGTTGGTGTTGCTCTCAAGCCAAATTCAAGTCCTCTTTAAGATACATAGATAACGAGCGCCGCTTTGGTGTCCCCGCTGACAATCACACGATTTCCGTTGTTGATCAAAAGCTGCGGATGTGCACCGCCCAAGTGTTGCACGATCGCAGTACTCGCCAATCATGTAGAAACTCTCTTTTCTCATTACATCCTAATGTGTTCATGAGTGAGTTTGGTATTCTTCATTGTTGCACGTGAACTGACAATCTGCTTTTGAGCTTAGATTGAGCATGAGACGGACGGATGACTGTTCGTTTTCGAGTGACCGCGTTCAGCAGATGTGTACACTCCGATGAAGACATGAACACGAACAAACACCGCCGAATTTGTTTTGTCTGAGACAAAGTGCTGCCGAGGCAGGAAAGTGCCAGGAAAGGCCTTGTAGTCCCTCCTGGGCGCCCCCTCTGAGGTGCCACCCAGCCAGTCTCACGGAGGTTCCGCTGGCACCAACGATCCAGCCCGACCGTGGTGGCGATTCTCTGATGTGATACGACCACTTGGCATGATTGGATGATCTCGCCACGTGTTGTTTCGTGTCGCCCCGCGAGGCTTAGTATCCTTGCGAACGCAACCACAAGATTTTCCAAGACGGACGCAGCGGCAGTGGTCTCTGAAGAAGGTCGCACACGCAAAGGGATTTGCGCGGTCTTACACCGGTCACCCGGCACTGCTGTTCAGAGCATGAAGAAACTTGAATATTCCATCGGCGTGTCGCGCGGTTTCACCGGCTTCACGCAGGGCGACAGGCCTGGTCGATGTCCACGTGCAACTCCATGTGCACTAAATTCATTGGGCAATGCGCCGGTTCGTTCTCACTACCCGCAGCATGTGGGGGACTCAACCGAGCAGCGTGCCGACATCCAGCCCTCGCACACATGCGACACCACCACACACTAGCTACAAATCATTCAATACCCCCTTTTCATCGACAACCTTGGTCGAAATGGCTGGTACGCTCGCCTCTATCGTACAACAACCCCCGGCTCTAAACTCCACAACCCCAACTACTTTATGCTTTGGCGGATTTCGAATGATTCTACCGTCACAGTATTTGAACGAACAACACGTGCCTGGCCAAGATATCAACAATCAACAATAGGACATCGATATACATCATCGAGCTGAAGCGTACACGCACAACACTTACGTTCGACGAGTGTCCTTGCCAACTGCCAGTTCTACAGTAGAAACACAAAAAAGGATGGGAGAACCCTTGCCAACTGCCCGCATCATGTAAAAAAAAAAAGGTTGACCTCACCAAACCGTAAACGTAAACCACACATTTATTTCCACATCAATGCACACAGCTCACTAGTGTTTACAGCCTGTACACCGTCAGAATCCATCCCCTATGAGCTCATTCATCGAAAATCTGCGCTGAGTCGATCTCCAAAATACTGTCTGAAACGTCTCCCACGCCAGCTACACAAGTATTTCGTGTTTCGGGCCAATGGTACCGTCGCTCACCCCGTTCTTTGGGTTCTCCCCGCAGGTTTACTGTGTTTACGATCCAACGGCAACCTAGTCCAGTTGAGAAATAGCTTCGCACCCTCTCGGTTACTTGTCTGCTTTCATCATACCCTAATCGCTCCCGAAAAAAACAATCACCACCTCAATTTTTAATTTTTGTTGTGCCTGCCTGCTACGGTCATGTGGTACCGAAGAGGGGACACGCGATTCTTCAAGCGGTTGACTATACCCAACACGCACCAACCTCTATCCGTGTCATGATTGAAGGACAGCCGCACGCAGGGCGTCGCAAATAATCACACAAGCTACGTGAGTTAACCCATGGCGGGCTCCAGACGCTCTAGAAGTCCTTCGCAGCTTCTTTGGCCACTTGTTTCACTTCTTCGATTGTGGATTTGATCTTCTTGAATCTTTGTAGGCCCTCGATATTGTCGACGAACTCGTCGGGAGCCACCTGAAAGCAATACATGGTACCATGAAATTCGCGAAAACGACCACAGCAGTTGTTCTCGCTCCAGATGGAGGCAGGGAAAGAGAGAGCGAAGCAAAAAAAGAACTATACTGCCGCAGCTGCACAACAACCAACAGCAGCGTCATCGAAAACGGGGACGTTCAGTAACCAAACCGTCCAATACACACAATGCATGCAAGAAACCAATCCGCCCTCAGCCCGATCCCACCTGCAGAATGAAGTTGCTGATAGCATCACAACACGTGCTCTTGGCCTTGTCGAAAGCCGGCACCTTCGCGTTGATCACATCCTGCTTGAAGTGTCGAATATACTCCGAGGTGCTGTGGTCGTCGACGCCGTCGATCAACTCTCCGCGGCACAACGCACTGAGACGCCCGAGGATACGGTCGGCGAAACTCGACGTGCTGATGGCACCGCTGTCGAAAATAAGCGGGTGATGGGGGCAGCGAGACAGCGTACGATGTTGAATAAACCCGATGTATCGGCGATGGTCGCGCTGCCGCGGTTGCTCCCCGGAATACGCCTTCCTTGAGTTGGCGTCCGTCTTGCGGGAAAGTAATTTTCCTCTATACGAAAAAAAATGATAATCGAAAAAGCCGGACACATGATAAACACCGTTCTTAGTGTCTCTCGACTAATGTCCAGGGAAAGTTTGTGTCGATCACCACAAGCGATACTGACCATTTCTTGCATGACCCGGATCTACAAGCTTGCATATTCGTAGACATCATCGTCAGTCATTTACAGTAGCCCAAGCTTACGAACGCTTGCGCAAAACATGGAAATGATTCGAATGCTTTTGTTTCTTTCGCAAGGACTCCTCACAATCGATCGAGGTAGATCTCCGTGCCGACGTGCTCGTAGCTCGGCGGGAGCGGAATCCGCGTGACGATGTCGTTGTTGTTCCTGCAACGGAAGTACTTCTCCTTCAGGGGGGTGCCGTCGTTCATCCTGGAGTCAAACCCAGCGGCGGCTGACGGGTCGAACAGCCTACCAAAACGAGTGAGCAAACGGTGCAGAAAGCGGAGCAAAACGCGCTTGTTAATGATCTTCCGAGGGATTGGACAACAACGAGACCATGCAAAGAAAGAGAACGCACATCTAAAACGACATTTGTATTTTGTTCAGTGGAATGCAACGCGAACGATTGGAAGCACACACGTCAAGTCAAAATCAGCTGTCACGCCATCGGTATCATGCCGTAGACGGCAGGGCGTGAGCGGAAGAAGTCACGAACAGATTCTCGCCTATTGTAGCCCCCGTGACTTTATACTGCGAAATACTTGTGCCTGAAAGCAAGCATGCTCGTTTGGGGTTGTGTTGAAGCGCAAACAAAGAGGGGGAAAAACGGCCACAACCAACCTTTATGACTCTTAGCTCATGGTACAGCGTTTGCGTTGACTATCGGTCAAGCGCACCTCCGCTTGGCGTCTGAAAAATGTGAATCCGACTTGCGCGCTTCGGAGCGACTTGAGAGAGAAGGAGTGAAACGGTCGTCACACAGACGCGTCGAACCCGTCCGTTTTGCTCGCTTTCTGTTATCGCACCTGGGGCTGCCGATGGTGTATACCCCGGCGATGTCCAAGTTGTCAATATACGACAGGCGAGCCGCGGCGACCGTGGCCAGAGCACCTCCAAGAGAGTGCCCCGCGATGTACAGCTTGCGGTCCTTGCCCTTTTCGTTGTAGAGGTTTTTGATAACCTTGCGCATGTTTCCGCGCACCTCCCAAACCGAGTCCACACCCTCGTTGAAGCCCTAGTTATTGACCAGGCAAAGCAATGTGCCGAAAACGAACGGTGAGCGCAAAATTGGCAGTACGTTTGGATTCGTTCCCACTCCAACATCAAACGAAATCCAGACGCGGAGGTATGCCGCGGACGTTGATCCTCACCCGTTGACGAAGGGGGCACACGTCATCCGTTCATTCGTTCGCTGCCCAAAGAACAGATCACCTGGTCGCGACAGGGGCATCCATCTGTCCATGGGCTGCGCCTCGATTACTTGCAGGTTCACGGGACGTCGCCGTTTTGGACCACGGACATCTTCCGAGGTAACGGGAAAACCACCAGAAATCCGGGACTTGAAACAGCAGGCAAGACGCTCCACAAAACTTGCGGAACGTGAAAGATGTTCGGTTTCCACGCCGAACACGACCAAACGGCTCGACCACACCCTCAACCCTCACCGTGTGATCCATAACGAATATCGCTCATACTTCCATCAAAGGGTTCGCCCTCCAATTTTCGGCAAAACATATGGAACGGAATTTACTCTAGCTTGAGTTGCTCCGATGTGAATTGCAGTATGATAGTTCGCTGTCAAGGAACACAACCTGTCGAAGCTAACGCACAACATACCTCGAGCACACCGTGCCTCGTGAACAACGCACTAGAGTCGAGGCACCCCGCCATTGAAGGCCTGGCCTTCGAAAGTTAACCTTAGCGTCGAAGACGCGACCTCCGTACCACATACAGCAACGCCTCTGCGAAAGGGCACAAAGCACCGTCAACACACCTCGTGGACAGCGCCGACCGCATCCGGGGCCTCCCACTGCTCCGCGCAGTCCCTCGGGCTAATGTCGAGGTTTGTCGCCCAGTCCGTCAGCTCCTTTGTGCCTCGGAACACGACCGCGACCATGTCGTCGTTCGCCGCGACAAAGGCCTCCGTGTCTTGGATTGCGTCGAAACTGCTTCTTTTCGCCGCCTCGTCCGCCTGGTGGACCCAACATCAAACACACCCCGCCCAACAGAGAAACCAAAATCGTTGTGCGTTGAAAAACGAAGAAAACGTTTGTCGGGATGGGGAGGGTGATGTCTAGCATACAGTCTGCCCATGTCCATGTGTTGTGCAGGTTCTGCCACAAACGGTTTGTACTCAAACATGCCGGTGACAGCTTTGCTGATCGGAGAAACTCCTTGACTCCCTCAGCACGCCTGAAATTCACGTCGCCGTGTCGTCAGCAGCCTGAGTCGCTATATGGTTTCATCGTAAGCCCAACGTACCATCGTTCGATGAGCTTCTCTTCGCACTACGCGACCTCTCCTTAAAGACATTGCTGCGGAGTATGCACATGGTACTAAATATTACTTTCGACGCCTGTTGCATGCTGAAAACGTACATCGAACCAGTGGAATCGATCAAACCCCAGCCCATCGTTGGTGGAGTTGCCCTTCACGAGCCCCTTGGCCTCCTGCTCCGGCTTGTAGGCGATCTTGCACAGGCTCGCGAAGTAAAAGGCGTTCTGGGTCGAGAATTTCGTAGTGTTCAAGTTTGGCTTCATCTCCACCTGTCGTCAAACATCGCCGGATGAGGGTCAGCGCAAGGAAATTTCTGCGGCGGGACTACTCGGGACTTGGGTCCATGAATCAAGGTGCATGGCCTCGGTACCAGGTGTTGTGTGTTCGTCCTTTTTTTATTGTGACAGTCCCCCCGGTTTTCGTGGTGAGACGTGTACTACACGTGTTTCAGTGCATGCAGAGTTCTACACTTTTGAGTGTATTTTTGCGTACAACTACAACCATCCAGGGTAACACAGGAGGGGTCCGGGCTCTTCTTATGTTTTTATTTTCGTGCCCCACGATCCTCCTGCGGTGCGTGCTGATTTTTTTGTTCGCGGGGAAGAGTCCAGCCACCCCTTTCCCTCGTCAACGGTGCTAACGTCGAAGTTTGGTACTCACGAGCTTTTCAGATGTTTGGCTTTCGCCCGCAAATTTGTAATTTTTTTCACCCCGTGGGGAGTCGAACCCACGAATTTACAACTAGCTGTGTCGAGGCTACCGCTAGACCATCGGAGCGACTGGCCTTACCCAGGTGGAAATAAGAAATACGCCGTTTTGAGCCGGTGACCGCGACGTCGTGGTGGCAGACAGCTGGGCTTGAAGGTAACCTCTACGGCACCCTCGCGCCAGTGACAGACGAGGGGGTGAGTGGCGACAAACTATGACACGTCGCTTGTACAAACCGTACTCCTGCTTTTCGTGAGCTTCCGGAAGTGCTTCTAGAACACACGCCTCAACCTCAATAACCAAGCGGTGAATATCGCAAGGGAGTTATAGCGCAACTCCCGAGGAGAACGTCAGCTCCATCGCTGATTCTTTTCTGCAACACGATGGGGAAAAGTCCCGAGTGCTGCTTAGACCCATGTAGCTCGGCGCATCCTTCTTTGTTACGGAAAAATGGCTGTGACCTCCCACCCTTCTCCAGGGTCCGATACCGAGGGAACGAACGAAAAATGTCTGAATCTCAAGTACTCAGAACGGCAATTTCGACTTGGAACCGAACCCATCGCATACCTCAACCATGGGAGCGCTGGTAGTTCGCTGCGGCATCGCCGGAGCCGCATCGCGGGCAAAAGTTGTCTGCGCGCTGTCAGAGGCGTTCCAGGAACAAGTGGCGGAAAGGGGAACACAGGGCGGTCGGTCAGTCGCAGAAGAAAAACAGACACGGCAGCGCAAGTGCTAGTGAAAGCCGAAAGCCGTTTCGGAACGGGAACAGGCACATCTTTCCACGGCACAAAGCTACGAACGCTGTTGCATAAGTAGCTCGGAAGGCCACAACGTGAGGCCGTACCCCCGCACCTGCGAAACATTCAGACACTCAAAAAGACCAGCTTTCTGTGGGGCGTAAGTTTCTTTGGGTGCAGAAGTGGGACGGTAGAGAGAACGATGACCAGAACCTTCCATACCACCGTTCTGCCCTCTGGTCAGGGTCGATACGGAAGTGTCAATTTGTTTTTTTATGTTCGTTCCCAGTGGCACCAGTTGTGTCCGCAGCTAGAGCAGAAGCACACCCAAGGGCTGCCAAATTTCGTTCCAGCATTGGGTACCGCACATAACCCGCTTTCCTGAACTGACATATCCAGACACTCGGGGGTCAGGATACACAAAACATGACCGTGTAATCTGTGGGAGTCTGTTCCTTGAAACAAAATATCACTATTAAGGCCGCGGTGGAGTTGGCAGATCTCGTCTAAAAAAACATGATGAAGCGCCTGCATGTCTTGGGTTTTCAAAGTCTAACTCCAGTACGAATCTGCCATACCACAATAGCCGCCCGCAGATGTCGCCTGTGTGCAATCTTAGTAGCTCAGTCGGATGTAGTCCTTGCGACACACCACCGATTTGAAGTCCGCTTGCGATACACTAACGATTTGAAGTCCGCGATTTCCAAAGGATCCGTTTATAATCGAGATGGGTGAGCTACAAGCACGACAGTAAGCTGCTGCGCTGTCCGATTTTCGAACCCTTCAAGCACACAGTTGACAGCCAATCAGCACCAATTTAGCCAAAAGTAAAGGTTCTTGAAGCGTTCGAATCGGGCCTCACCCCATTTAGCAGGGGTTTCGCGGTCGGGTTGGGGGTTAGGTCCTTGCGAAGGTGGTCCGTCCGTTATAATAGCGGACCCGAGGCCAATCGTGTACCCTGCAATTGGCTGCAGATGTCTGCTGATAGTGTACATGAACGCGTGTGCCTTTCTGCACGAGCTAAGTACGTGTACTTGTTCTTACGGGTGGGTAGTCGACGAGAGAAATAACGGTTGTTGAATTCTGCTCTCGACAAAGAATTGCCGACAAGCGCCGCCGAAAGGACGGTGCATGCTGCATGTATGAGTGCACGAAAAAAGTCATTGGGAGAGCAAAGATTAAGATTTCCGGTTTCCACCTATTTTTGGGCTTTGAGCACACTTCACGCTACCTGCTTAGAGGGGACACGTCCGCGCGCTACAAAATAGGGACGACGTTTCGCTTAGTTTGAGCGGGAAATAGGTGTTCTCTTGAATTGCGACGTATGGCATCCGTTTCGTGCGAAACATGGCTTGGGGGTTCGCAAGATAGGACTCTAGCTCGCGCATAGGGTACCCGGACAAAAGCAGGTTCCACCCACGGGGCTCCTGTGCTTCATATACGAATTGTAGTACATACCGGTGTACCCGAAAATGTGCCAATCACATTGTAAGAACTTGGGTACGTTCATGCGTGTTGAAGAAATTCTTGGACGGTGTCAGAGCAAAGGAGAGAGATTGATTGATTGCGTGACCGATATACTGCTGTGTAATAGAAACCGCGTTCTCACTTTCCCTGAAATCCAAGAAAAACAGTAGATATAGCGCGACGGCCCAATTCTCCGACAACATAATAATCAGTTCCAGATGCATACTTGTACGGTACAACAGGACCACGATGCACCCAACAAGATAAAAACAGAAGAAATTCTCATGCACACCTGGTAGACAGAGTAGGAAACATTCTCGTAAACACACACAACACACAGAAAAAATTGTTGCCGAAATTGCTGCATGCGCAGCGCACTGCTGCGGTCTCCTGCTGACAGGACATCATTGTGCCTGTGCACACGCACGCGGATACAGCGTCATCCCGGAGACACGTCCCGCGAGTCACGAGGCGGCTGAGACACCACCTCTGGAAGCATGTGCGGGGGGGGGGGGTGATTTGAATCGCCTACTACTGTAGACAACCGAGATAAGGGTCAAACCGTCGGAAGAACCGTCGGAAGAAGTATGCTAAAAATACACAGCAGTCACCGCGGTGAGATTCGCGCACGAGAGAGAGAGCGAGAGGAAGGCAGAAAGTGAGAGAGTCAAAGGCTGCACTTGAATGCCTCTGTAAGGAACGCGCCTCCGGAACGCGAGATTTGCACCCAGGCGAACGCCTCGAAAGCGGACGTGTAGTGTAGTTGCATCCTTTGTGTTGATGCGTTGGACATGATGCCTTGCAGTCTGTAGCCTCTCCAAGACATGCCGCGGGGCGTGCACGGAAGGCATACTCATCGATAACCGGTTGCAGGGTCGACGATGCTCTCAGAGACTACCTACCGCCACCGTTCATATACACTCACAACGCGGTGAAGGGCGTCCTCCTGCCTGCACTCCTGCTGCTGCTGCGGGCGTGCACAGACGGTAGCGGGAGCAGCAACAGCAGGCCAAGGTAGCAGCACCACCGGCTGCTGACGAGGGCGGCCCTCCCCGCAGAGGAACTTGACCAAGGAGACATCCCAGAGGAGCTACAGCTGCACTTGTCAAGTCAAGATCGCAATCGCCGCTGGCTGCTGCCTACTGCGCGTCCTTTGAATGTGCTCGGTGCTTTGTGTTGTGTTGTGTGTGAGATAGGCAGCGGAATTGGTTCGTGCTGGTCCGCATGTTGATTTTTTTTTTCGGATGAATTCCGTGCACCAGAAGGGAACGCTTTTTATTCTCTGAGGTCCGTAAAAAACATACATACATACGGCAGTCTAGTCTGTAGTTGGTTTTGTGCCCCGCGCGCCACATAACGGCGGGCGCTTCCTCCACCCAAGCCTATTCATTAGCCTAATATCAGTAGTACAAGCGGTAGACTATATGCAGACAGAAGAAGGCACTGGGTAGAGAGATCGGAACGGTTTATTATCTTGAAGACAACAACCACCCCAGACCGGAGGAGGATTCGACGAACTACAATTTATTTGTTGGCATTGCTTTAAACTACTTACCGTAGACGCCGTAGACAAAAATGGCGGTGACGTGTTGTTGTATGCACACATACATGCACATGCAAATTAAATGCATAATTTGTCTTACATGAATGGAACGGGTAATCACGCATTTTTTCCAACTATAGTGATTTCTTCCTTGCGGTGCCACATGCGGTTTTTTCCTACCTGCCTTCAAAGCTCAGCATCAGTAGCATCAGTGAGTCAATGTGTCCTTCCTTTTATTTCCCCACTGTTCTCTCCACACACACTCACTCACTCTTTGAATGCGCTCGTTTGTCACTCTGGAGAGACTGCGAACCTACCTGCGATCTATTTACTGTAAGTGAGTCAGAAGGTTATTCGAGAGCATTGCAGGGACGGACGGACGGACGTGAGCTGTCGGTCATTGTCGGTGGTTTGCAGGAAATGTCAACCAGATTATGTTAGTTCCTCTTGCTACTGGAGTGCCGAGTGAGCACGAAGGTATCATCCATATTGTGATAGCAACTCGACGAGTATCGTCGCGTTGCCTGTCTGAAGCTTTCCAGTTTTTTAGCGGTTGATGAGTCGAGGGCGCACACGGCGACACGCTCGCCCACCGAGCACGACAAAGAGTTATTCTGTACACAGAGTAGATGACATAATAAGATGTCACACCCCCTCTGAACATTTTTTTTAGTTTTCAAAGCTCGATTACTCCACAGCAGAAAGCTGTGGCCGGGCGGCGTTGGCACCGATAGCTTTCCGAAACAAACCTATCGTGTGACATCCTCGTCGTCGTGGACTAACATTATTAGCTGTGCATATCGATGAT